CACGGCCAGGTATCTGTCCACGGCCAGGGCGCACAGGGTTTCGATGCTGGCGGTCACGCCCAGCACGTCCACCGAGGTCCACAGCTCGCAACCAGTGGCGCCCAGGGGCCAGTGGCCCGGTCAGCGCCAAGGTGGCCGCCGGCGGTACTACCAGGAGTCCCACGACCAGGTCGGCTGCAGCCAGAGAAGTCACGAACACGTTGGTCATGGTCTGGAGCCTCGGCGTCCGGGCGATGGCCACGATGACCAACAGGTTGCCTCCCACGGTGGCCAGCACCGCCAGCGCCAACAGCGCCCCCGCCAACGCCGCTGCCCACGGCACCCCTGACAGCCCACTCGTGTTGGCAGAATTGGGCGCCAGGGTGGGGGCATCTGGCCACGAGGCCAGAGAGCTGTTCGCGTCAGGCCGCGGAGCCATTCCCACGTCGCGCGTGGGGCGGGAGGGAAAGAGGTAAGGGGGCTCCCAGCTCACGCGACTCAGGGGAGGGGGCAGTGGGGCGTGGGAGAGATCTCCTTGGCCTGGGCCATCTTCCCTGGTTGACTGGGAGAGAAAGCTCAGCCCCCCCACACACCCCCACACTTGGTGCCACCGCTGGGGTGTGGGGGGAGTGGCGGCTCTTAAAGGGGCAGCGGCCAATAGAATCAACACTCGGCGTCGGGAGGGGACTTGGAGGGTAGGGAGGGAAACGAGGTGAAAGCCCGACTTTTCCTTTAGCCAAATCCGGAGCACGGAGGCCCTGACTTCTCTGCCACGATGTGCCCACTCCTGCCACGACCAGTTCCACACTCAGCACAGCACCGGTCAGCACTGGTTTCCTGGCCTCCCCGCTCACCGTGGCAGAGGAAAAGGTAACCCTTTCTGTCCACAGTAGCCCCTCGGCTCCTCGGGAGCCCTCCTCTAAGATATTGTAAGTTAAGTAATAGAGGGCAGCCAGTATCCTCGCTTCTCCCAGGAGGCCATTTCAGTGAGATTTGCCCCCTTTCCCTTCTATTTCCCTTACCCTCCCTGTCTCTCCCGTTTTCTGTTCTGGCTCCCTCACCCCCCACCCCCTCAGCTACTGGGACGTTTGCCATTTTTCAGGGGTCTTTATCATTGCCCACTCACTTGAATTTCAATTTGGTTTCCGTAGCCTGGGATGCTGAGAGTTTCGATTTCTCCAACTTCCTCATTACACATTGCCCTTTCCACACACCTTTCCACCTTGAAATTTTCTAGATGGGCCCTTTTTTCTTACAATGCTGTTGAAAAGACATGTTAAAAGTGAATGAATGGGTTTGAGGTTGAGGCTGATCCACATCACCCCCTACTATCCACAAATCTTCCATTACCACGCTCCCGATGGGAAAGTGTTCACGCTACTTCCTTGAAGATTTATTCATGAACTTTTTTAATTTTTTAATTTATTGATTTCAGAGAGGAAGAGAGAGGGAGAAACAGATAGAAACATCAATGATGACAGAGAATCATTGACCGGCTGCCTCCTGCACGACCCCTACTGGGGATCGAGCCTACATCCTGGGCATGTGCCCTTGGCATGAATCGAACCTGGGACCCTTTAGTTCGCAGGCCGACGCTCTATCTACTGAGCTAACCGGCTAGGGCTATTCATGAACTTTTAATTAAAAACTAGAAGAGGTTAAATTGAGAAATTCACGTGTTGCATCTCCAAGTGTGTGGAACCGGAGGCCTGGTATTGTAATGCAGCTCCAAGTCTCTTCATACCTCTTATCAGAGGTTCCCTTCACCTGAGGAAGCCCAAAGCCTACTTCCCTTCCCCTACCCTCACCCAGACTTAGAGCTGGTTCTGCCAGCCAAGCTATTCCAATCTCCAAGCCAGTTCCTCTGAAATTGGGTGTGGGGAGATGAGACTGGAAAATAAGCTCCTGGATTCAAGTTCAAGGGCAGGAAGATATGATACCTTAATGAAGTCCTATCAGAACCTGATCCTTGAGCTGTCTGGCTTCCTCCCCTGAAACAATGAGACAAAAAGGGGAAAAATATCATGGAAAATGCCTCCAGGGCCATGCCCTAGCATGTCTCTTTTGAACCGCTCTATATTTCAAAAGAACAACTGTATAGTCACTGGTTTAAGCAATCCCTCTGGGAGGCTGAGCCAGGGGTTGGGAGGTTGAAAGACTGGAGGGGAAGTGAGGACCTAAAATTATCCTTGAGGGAAAAGAACCAGTTTCATCTCCCAGGGACCCAGCAGCTCACCCATGAGCAGGGTTTGTCAGTGGCTCCCAAGCAAATGCCTCCCATGCCCATGCAGTACTCCAAGCAGACCTTGGGATCCATGGAAATGCCTAGCGAGTGGAGGTAAAGAGACCCAGCCCCAGCCCCTGCCCCAGGTCCTGCCCCAGGTCATGCCCCACTTGGCCTGAGTCTTGGCTGTGACGTCCTGCTGGTCATCAAGGCGGTCACTCCCAAGTGGGTTTTGCAACACCCCAGAGTGTTGCCAGTTATTTCAAAGGGGTGTCATGAGATTCTTAAAGAGTAATCTCTAAAACAAATACATGCCATTCAGCAATTTTTTTCCAGGACAATAGAATTGGCTGGGGAAGGGAAAGAGGGTGCCAGGAAGTCAAGCAGCTTTAAAGGATGTCATTGCTTTAGGGGGTGACCTTGTTATTCTGAAGAAGTGTGTACAAATGTTTACATTTAAAACACACGCACAAGTTTTCCCTAACCACATGAGTGTGCCTGAGTTAGGGGAATGGTGAGGCGGTTCACCATAGGAGACCATGAGAAGAGGAATTTCAGGCCTCTGTTAGTGGAGGCCCTTAGGAGCCAGCAGGGCAATGCTGAAGCACCTGGCAGCCCACTTCCTCCTCTTCTGTGTGTGGAGGTGGGGGTTGTTGGGAGGGGGGGGGAGCATTCCTTCTGAATTCTCAGTCTAGTCTTTCCCCAGGCTATGCTGCTAACAGGGTGGAAGGTTCCTCCTTTTGCTACCTTGGTCTGTTTTCTAATTTAATCTTTTGAGTAGGTAATTGTTCTTTCTTTTCTACACTAATAATAGTAAAACATACCCACTGTTCTGCACCTTGTTTATTTTAACTTAACACTCTATATCTGTGACCCTTTCATACCAAAACCAAAAAAAAAAAAAGCTTCTGGTGGACATCTGGTTTACTCCCGATCTTTACTAATAGATGGTATTGCAGTGAATAACTGGTTCACATGTCATTTCACATGTGTGTGAACTAAATTTGTAGACTAAATTCCTAGAAACAGAATCACTATATTATAAGGCACCTACTTTTGCAAATTTAAGAAATATTGCCAAATTACCCTTCCCAGGCAAAATACCTATTTACACTCTTTTTTTTAAGCTATATTTTATTGATTTTTTACAGAGAGGAAGGGAGAAGAATAGAGAGATAGAAACATCAATGAGAGAGAGAACATTGATCAACTGCCTCCTGCACACCCCCTACTGGGGATGTTCCCGCAACCAAGGTACATGCCCTTGACTGGAATCGAACCTGGGACCCTTCAGTCTGCAGGCCAACGCTCTATCCACTGAGCCAAATCGGTCAGGGCTATTTACACTCCTGCTATCATTTTTGATGGCCAGCCTGGGTTTGGAAACAAGTGACCTGCTGCTTTGGAAAGTCGTCCTAATGACTGGCCCCAGGGATACGCTGCTGCCTGGTCTGTAGAGGTCATCCAACTCTGGACAGAAGCATGTGTTCCCCAGAGGGAGCTTTACCCTGGCCATGAGCCCCCTAATAACCTTTGTTCTGTGCCCTTGGAAGCAGACAGTGAGGGCCTCTATATCTACTGAGTTCAGGTCTCCAGGCTGCTCTTTATGTGTTGGGGGCTCCAAAGATGCAAGTTGGGGGCAGTTGTGTGATGATCAGTGACTTAGAATGCGTGGTCCGCAGAACCAGCAGCTGCCTGATGGGCAGAAGTTCCAAGAACAGGGAAGTTGTAGCTTGCGGTTGGTCCTATGCCCCTCACCATGGACTGCATGGATGTGTGCACATCTGTGTGTGTTATGTAACAGGGTAGGAAGAAACTCAGGGGACTGCAGCCTTGTACATGACATGTGTTAGAGGTGTTACAGTCTATAATTCGTAACCTTCCCCCTCTGGCTTTAAAGTTCTTACAAATGAGCAAAAACTATGTGGAAGTACCTCCACACCCCTTTACCCTGTCTGTTTTCTTCATATCCCACTGTGGAGTTTTTGTTCTAGTCTCTGAATAACTATCAAAATCCTTGACTATTGGAGTAGCTGCTCCTCAGGGGCTGGGAAAGGTCTACCTGAAGACAGAGACAAGACTTTCTTGGGGTTCAGTAAGGCATCCTCTCCCTCAGAGTTAGGGGAAAGATGAAACCAGTGGGAGAGGGAGAGAGCTGGAGAGGGCGCCCACCAACCTGCAGATCAGCTTCTCCCATTGCCTTCCGCGTCACCCAGGAATGTTGCTGTGGCTGGTTCTTTGCAGGCTTTTTCTTTGGGAGAAGGAGGCAGCTTTGATCCATAGGCTCTCCCTCCACTCTTCCCTGGGAAGGAGAGCTCAGGCACCGGGAGCCTGTCGGGCTCACAAAGAGACTGGTTGTCCTAATGAACACGCTCTGGCCCCTTCTTTCCCATCAGCCCACATCTTCTCCCTAGGAAGCAGGTGCTGAGGAAAGGATGGCTGGCACTCGGAAGGAAAGAGAGCAGAGCAATGAGGATGGTTTCTCCTCCAACAGGGAAACCAATGCCTTGCATGACTAGACCTTTACAATTAAGACAGGAATGAGGAGCTTTCATGGCCAGAAAGAGGAAGGAAGCCAAGCCCCACAAACCCTTTTGGACGGTTAAAAATCCACCAGGAAATAAGGGGGCAGTCAAGGTCCAGATGCCAGTGGTGGGGAGAAGGGAAAAGTTTCCTATTTTGAAGAAGTCATGGATGGATGGGGCAAATGCTACTTTTTTTTTTTTTTTTTTTGCTTTTTTAACTTCAAGAGGAGACCAAGAATTTGCTTTTAGTCAGGAGAGCACTGTCATCCCCTTTCATGATAAATGGGAAACAGGAGGAGAAGGAGACATCCTCGGGCCTGCCATTCAGCCCGAGGCACCACGCTCCCGTGGCCCTTGCTGGTGGGTTGCCAGCCTCTCGGTCACCACTGGACACGCTTTCCCCTGTGCCAGGCCCCACATGAGGCATGCTGATGGAGAGGGCACGAGGACCCAGCCCCTGTCCCCAGGGTAGGGGACTGCCAGCCACATAGAGGAAATTGGGTTTCACTTTGTTCCCCCAAAGAACTCCTGCCAGTGCCATGGCAGGCAGCTTTGGTCATAGATGCTGGGTGGGGTAGCTTTATCCAATGATGGAGATGGGAAAAGAAGCAAAGAAGGACATCTCTTGGGGACACCAAGGTGACTTTTTTTAAAATTTTTACTATTGAAAGTATTACATATGTCCCCTCC